TGGCAGCTGCAGCCGGGGACGGCGCGGCAAAGCCGCTGCAGAGCGCTATGAAGCTGGCCAACGGGGCCATAGAGCTGGACACCGACAACCGGCCGCGGGTGAGCGGGGCGGGCGGTGAAGGGCAGGAAGGGCCCTACGGTCGACTCCGGACTCTGGACTAGGAGCCACTCCTGGCCTCACTTCCCAGTCCGGTCACTGAATCAGAGCGTCCGACCCGAAGGGGCTCCAGGCTGCTCCGAGGCAGCCTCGGGATGCGTGACAGGCAGAGCGGTGTGTTCGCGCGCGGGGGTCCCGGGCAGGCTTCGGCCAGATCGGGGATGCATCCCAAAAATCCGACTGTCGGTCCTAAGGTCGCTTGCGAGGAAACGCAGGAGGGAGGGTGCAACAGCCGCCCAGCGAGCAGCCCAGGGCAGGTAGAAAAGCCGGCGAAGCTACTCGGGCTGCCCACGGAGGAGTCTGTATGCTCCAGGAAAAGCATCCAGTCCTCCTAGTTGGGTTTTCTGGGCAGCAGGTGCCCCCACACGTCAGTAATCCTGCCTGGAACGCATACTGAGCTTTTCGCCGAAGTGCAGACTTTATAGCTGGGCTAAAACAAAGCAAACATACCTGCTGTGGTTCCAGACGCCCTAGCTCAGCTAGAGCCTCGACAGAGCTGTCACACCCTAGGAGTGCAGCATTGAGGGTTACAGGCTCCTGTGTGCACAGCAGGAATCATTAACTTGGGGATTTTGCAGAGGGATTTCCCTTAATTTAAACCAGAAAATGAGCCTGACATTTGCAACCTCATTCTCTCCCTGACCTCTCAGGTAATACTTTTTAATGTCATGGAATGAATGGTCCTTGAATTGCACAGGAAGGAAACTTGTTGCCCAGAGTGAAAAAGGACATTTGAGGCTTCCCCTTCACCCATTAAATGAATCTGAGAAAGGCAATGAGAGGAGAAATTGAAGCCCATATGGTCTCTGGCTCTCACTGTCTGTCCAGTGGGGAAGTTGTAGGAGGAAGTGCTCTGACATCTTTTCCTTCAAGTCTGGACAGTGTGGCTACTGTCTCTGCCCCCCGGCATGTTCCTGAAAAATGAGCCGGCACTGCTGCTCCTGTTCCCACAAGGGCTCTGGGCAGGTTTGACGCAGCCATTCTCCCGTCGGGCTTGAGCTCCACCATTTTTCTCCCCTGGACACAGGAGGCATACATGGAATACCTAAGGAGCATCCACTACATCTCCCAGGTGCTACTGGAGGAAGTGGAATCGACCAAAGGTGCCACAGCTTTGCCACTGCTCTCCCCAGTGGGTCCCAAGCCCAGGGCGTCTCCTGTGTCCTTAAAACCTGGTCATTAGCAGAAGGTGGCCTGTGAGCATGAGACCCCACAGTATGACGTTAAGGGACACTGCGGCAGATAAGGGAATAAGTAGTAGAGTGGGGCAAGATTCTGGCCCAGGGAAGGGATGAATGAACTGCACAAAGGTAGGGGCAATCCCAGCACATGGATATGGCAAGACTGTGTACCCTGGGTGGGTGAAAGGAGGTTCACGGAGGCTCTGAGTTTTGTGGGACAGGCCAGTACAGGGACAGAGGCGCGGGTGCTCGGTAGGGAGGAGAGCACTGAGAGGAGGGCATGGCAGGAAGAACCCCAAGGATAAACCCAGCGGAACCCCAGAGGATAAACACCCAAGTGGTCCACCATACCTGACAAGGAGACGTGAGTGTGGAATGAGGAGAAAATGGAGTCTACAAGGGGTTTGTTCAGAGGGGAGCAGGATAGTGGCCTAGGAGATGGAATTAGTGGGATGCAAAGGTTAGCAGTGGTCCCATGGAGGAAAGGGGTAGCGCAGAAGGAGGGTGGTGCTTGCTGCTGTGCCTGCAGGAAGGCAGGGCTGTGGGAACTTGCACTGGCAGGAGGTGGGTCAAGGGAGTCCTTGGACAAATCCTGGGATATCACAGTGGCCTGTGAGGAGTGAAGGTCGCCATCCAGGTGCAGCGCTTGGACACCCAGGCCCAGTGAGCAATGAGGAGTCAATCTAAACTGGGTTAGCCAAGCACTTGCTTGGGAGGATGATCAGAGATGACTGGGGTGAGCTTCTCCACATCTTTGTTTTCATCTAAGCAAGGATCTGACTCATTAAGGTTGAAGAGTAACCAGTCTTTTTGTCCCTGCCCCAGAAGCCTGGGAAACGATGCCCCCTGACACCTCAAAGATGCTGAAGCTGGCTGAGCAGTGTTTGGAGCGGGCCCAGTCAACAGCTGCCAAGCTCGGTGGGTGCCCAAAGGAGGAGGCTGTCCTGGGTACCCCCAGTCTTTGTCTGCTTGGTGGGACAGGCCCTGCCTGTCTGGCTGAGCCTGGCTGTGCATATGGCTTGCAGGGAAGACTCACCTGAAGTCAGCAGTCCCCTTGGTTGCTAGGGCGCCACCTACTGGCCGACACCGCAGGGTGTGCTCAGATGAAGGAGGGAAGCTCTCTCCATTCCTGCCACCTGAGATCTTCCAGAAGCTTCAGGCAGTGGACTCCCAAAACTCTAAGAAGTAAGATGGCAAGGTGGGAGGTGTGCAGAGCCTTTGGTTGGGTTTAGAGGCCAAGCAAAGTTAGCAAGTTTGAAATCACCTTGTAATAAACTGTAAAATCAGGCCAGTAAAATAAAGAACCAAGCAAGGGCCAGGGATTTAGCTCAGTGGTTCTGCCACCTGCTCGCAAGCAGAAGGACCCAAGTTCGATCCCCCAAATAAATAAATAAATAAATAAATATAAATAAATATATAAACCTGAATGAAATCCAAATGATTGAAAAAAAAAAAAAAAAACAAAAGTGTAACACTGAAGTGCTTTTTAAAAACTAGTTGGAAACCAAAGGAAGTTATATTTCCCAGTAGAAATACATACACACATACCAAAATGAGTGGACAAGTTTGTAACAGCAGAGTAGATCCAGCTGAAGAGAAAATGATTAAGTTGGCAATAGAGTCAAAGTTTATCTAGCAGATATCACAGAAACAGAAAACAAAAGATGGAAAGTCTAACATACATTTTTTGGAGGTCTACAAAAATAAAATGAGGGAGAGACACATTATTTGAAGATGTAATGGCCGACAATTTTCTATAAGTAATGAGGTACTGACACAGGTAGAAAGCCAGTGGCCCTTCTGGGGTGATTTAGGGCCTGCTGCTCCTGCTCACTGCCAGGGGAGCACAGGCACCTTGTGCCTATGTCTGCAGTGTCAGGGCAGGGCCTGGGGGGGGGTTGTGGTTCCAGGAACCCACACCCAACAGATCAGGCAGAGTTCTCCATTTTTTGATTGCAAAACAGTCTCCCTGTTTGGCTTGTCCCATGACTGTCTTTTTTTTTTTTTTTTTTTTTTTTTTTTTTGGTACTGGGGATTGAACTCTGACCCTTGCACTTGCTAGGCAGGCAGCGGAACTACTGAGCCAAATCCCCAGCTGTCCCATGCCTTTGGTGAGGGTCATATTGTTGACTTTTATACAATCCAGAGGTCTAGCTTCTCTTGAGAAATCGGAAGTCTCGGCATTGCTGAGGCCAGTGTTTGTGGCAGGTTAGAAGGGCAGGTACCTGCAGCCCACTCCAGACCCCTCTGCATTTCCTTCCTGCTCCATCACCACCACCCCTCTTCAGTTTACCTTCTTCCACCCCTGGTCTCAGAGCAAGGTCAGGAGGGGCGTGAAGGAGGGGCTGGGGTTACCACACACTCCTGGGCTTCCTGATCTGGGTGGCAGCTTTATGTTTAGGGAACTGACACCACTGGAGGAGGCCTCCCTGCAGAACCAGAAACTGAAGGCCGCCTACGAGGCCCGAATGGCCCGTCTGGACCCCAGTCAGGCTATGCAGAAGACATCGCTGGTGAGTGGAGCCTGGGGAGAGCCCAGGTTGCCCGGGAAGGGCCCAAGGAGCCGCCTCACTTCTGCCTTCCCTCCTAGACCCTGTCTCTGCAGCGGCAGATGATGGAGAACCTGGTGATCGCCAGAGCCCGAGAGGAGACGGCATCCTTTCTGACCATCCCTGAGGGATGGTCCTGAGGGAGAGGCCAAGGGTAGAGCGGGGAGAGGGTTATGGGAAGTGTGTCTTCAGGTAGTAGGCTCCCTGGGCCCTCTGCTGGTACCTGTCCTCCACCCAGCACAGGTCCTCTGAGATGTGTCTCTCCTGGTGCCTTCCCTGGGAACAGTGCTCCTTTACGCCTCATTCCTCTGGCCTCGCCCACTTGCCGGATGACTCCTTGGGAATCAGTAGCAGCCGCATCAGCCACTGGGATCCCTGGGGATATGGACAGTGCTGGGGTGTGAGCGGATACGGGTTGCAGAAGAGGTGGGGGCAGCCCAGGTCAAGCACGCTGACCCCTTGACTCTGCCACCCCAGCTGCAGCGGAAGATGGAGGAACGCCGGCTGCGGCTCCAGGAGGCCGCCAACAGGTGCAGCTCCTTCCTACCTTGGGCCAAGTAGGGAGGCCTGGTGGGGCTCCTGTGTGCACAGGTCCAGCCCTGGGTCCCAGCCTGTCCTTCCTTGCCAGGAGGTTCTGTAGTCAGGTCGCCTTGACCCCTGAGGAGCGAGAACAGAGGGCCCTCTATGCAGCCATCCTTGAGTATGAGCAAGACCATGTGAGTGTTGCTGGGCTGAGCAGGCAGGCAAGGGAGCCAGGGTCCCATGGGCCTCTTGGCATTGGGTCCTCCTACACCCTGGGGACGGTGAGGGGCGTCCCATCGTGGGGACCTACTGTGCTTTCCTCCAAGGCCCCCTGTCCTGCAGGACTGGCCGAAGCACTGGAGGGCCAAACTCAAGAGGAGCCCGGGAGACCTGTCTCTGGTGACCAGCCTGGTCTCTTACCTGCTCAGGTACCCCAGTCCTTCCTGCCTCTTGCTTGGTGACATGGAAGGACAGCTAGAAAAGGAAATTAGGAGGGCTGGGGAGGGTCAGGTTCCTCACCCCACAGGCCAGAAGCCAGCAGATACACTGCAGCTCTGTGTAGCTGGGGTGGTGACCACTGTGGCTAGAAGCACAGGGTAGGGAAGGGTGTGTGCTCTCCTCATGGCCAGGCTGTACCCTGCCTACCAGCTACTCCTCTCCTTGCAGCCTTCCTGACCACCCGATCTCACAGCTGCTGAAGAAACTGCAGTGTGCAGTATACAGCGCACTGTATCCCGTTGTGAGCCGGGTCACCGTTGGCACTCTGTCTGCCCCAGGATGCTGCTCCCTGCCCTCAGATGCTGACAGGCTGCTGGCTCCCGGGAGCCAGTGCCTCCGCTCCTCCCAGAGCCTGCACTGCATGTTGTCACCCCCAGAGCCTAATGTGGCCCCACAGCCCCAGGACGGACCCCTTGACACCCCCTCATTTTTCCCTGGGACCCTAGATAGAGGCACAGACAGCAGCCCAGCCAGGTCCCCCTCACCCTTGGTAGATATTTCGTCCCACCTGCCCAACAAGGACAGCTCCTTCGAGGACCTGGAGCAGTTCCTGGCTACATCAGAGAGGTGGAGCTGGGGCTCCGGGGCACAGGTGACACAGAGGGAGCCCTTGCTGGAGTGTCTGAAAAGCACAGTGAAAGACATTCACAATGCAATTGGTGAGCTGTGGGTGTCGCTCTTACCATGGCCAGCACTCTGCTGGCAGCTCAGTCCCTTGGAGGGTGGCACTCCCTCTGTCTCCAGCCTTGCTCTAGCTGGGCCACACGGGGCCTGGCCTACTCATGCCTTGCTTGTTTGCCCCAGCATGTTTCACTCTGGTGGTTGACAAGGGTCTGTGGTCAGGGTTCTGGTCTGCCGGTGGTCATGGCTGGCCCAATGGGTAGGGCTCGTGCTTTCTCAGCAGGAAGACTGTGACACTATTCACCCTGCTGTCTGTGGCTCTCCCCTGCCTTCCCACTTTAGGGGTCAGGCTGCAGGTGGCTTGTGAGGCCCTTCTAGGGATGCAGGCTTTGGGCCCAACAGCCAGAGCTACAGTCTGGAGTTCTCACTGTGCTGACATGCTCCCCGCCCCACCCACCCTTACCTCCTGTGATTCTAGAGTCCCTTGGGCTCCTGCAGACCTGGCAAGGGTCTTTTCAGGAAGGAGCCATCCTCCCCTCCTCCTCAGACTCTGCAAGAATGGGGAGCTGGGCTCTGGCCCCAAACTGCAGACAGAATGGGCAGAAGCTCTCCTTGGGCTTAGCCAAGAGGGCCCTGAGGAAGTTCCCACTCTTCTCCTGGCAGACAGGCTGCTCTCACTGACTCTCCTGGCCTTCGAAAGCCTCAACACAGCTGCCTGCAAAGACCGTTGCCTGGCCTGTCTCGAGGAAAGCTTCTTCTCCCCACTGTGGCCTCTGCTGCTGGCCCTATACAGGTACAGCCCTTGCCAGGCCACTGACCTGGGACCTGCCACTGCCTGCTGCCTTCTCTGAGGCCTATCTGGATACGGTGCCCATCCTGCTGTCTTCCTGTTCACTGAGGCTGTCCCCTGGGGTTCTGGTTTGTAGATGGCCTGTACCCATCCTCCACAACTGGGGTCATCACTTCCAATTCACCCAGGTTGAGCCCCAGGTCCCAGCCACAGCCCAGCCTGTCTCCAGGGTGGGGTCCTGGGGTGGCTGAGCCTGACCTCTCTGCCCTAGGAGCGTGCACCGCACCCAGGAGGCTGCCCTGAGCAGGAGCATGGAGCTGTACCGGAATGTACCCCCCACGGCCCTGGGCATCCCCACCAAGCTCCTCCCCCGGGACCCTGAGGGCAGAGGGGGCGCCAGCTACCCCTATTGCAGTGCGGCCCAGGAGTTGGGGTTGCTGGTCCTGGAGAGCTGCCCACAGAAGAAGCTTGGGTGCATCGGTATGGGAGGTTTTGGGGCCAGCAGGCGTATGGTCAGATACAACAGATGCCTTCTCCCCGGCCACAGCCCCACTTGGGGGGACCTCTAATATGGGTACTGGCTCTCCCAAGAGGTGGGCAGTCTTGGAAGAAAATGCCCCACACAGCCCTGTTTCTGTGCCACAGTGCGGACCCTGCGGGTCATCTGTGTCTGTGCTGAAGACTACTGCCGTGCCCAGGAGCCCATGCCTGAGGCCAGACCCCAGGCCCCTGCAGCTGCCATGTGAGTTTCAGCGCAGCCCCCAGCACCCTGGGCCTGAGGCTGTCCTGCTCACAGAAGCCAGGGTAGGAGTGGACAGCCTTGCCCTGTGCCTGGCCCAGGAGTCCTGCCTGGTTTCTCTGGGTGTCCAGAGCTGGTCCTGGATGTGGGCTCAGAAAAGGCAGGCACCCACCCATCCTAGCCCTTTGGGTAGGCTAAGCCTTCTTGAGGATTAGGATCCCTGGCTGATCTGGTCAAGTTGAGGCTGCACCTCCCATTTCCCCCAGTTGCACACTACAGGGAGACCAGGTTGGGAGTGCTCCTGTACTGACTCCCAACGGGGGGTTTCTGGCACATCCAAGGGAAGGAGAGCTGTCCCCACCTGAGCCGTGGAGTTTTGTGATTTCTCCCCTACCTTGAACCTGGCCTGGCCTCAGCTGGGGTCAGCAGCCTTCTGATGCAGAGCTAGTATCTCAGTGCCCGTGAACTCTGCTTTCTGCCATCCTGTCCAGTGACCAGGGCTGGCCATAAAAATCCCAGTCACTGCAGGCAGAGGGATCTGAACCCCAGGTAGAGGTCAGAGTGGTGTGGTGCTCCTCCCTACACCAGAGCAAGTTGCCACCCTGCACAGGTCGTGGCAGCAGGAGCCAATGAGGCAGAACTGGCTCCCCCAGCCCCTTTGTCAGTAGGTGTGTGGGGTGGTCACCTCAAGCCCTGGCCTTGAGCCTGACTGCCCCTTGGACTCCTGCTCCGCTGGGCTGAGCACCTCATGGCCTTCCAGGGCCCTCAGTGCACATGGACCCTCCAGCGGCAAGTCTAGGGATCTGGTTTTGAACTGAGTGACTCCAATCTTGGGGTAGCCATCCATGGTCTGGCAAGGACCCTGGGGTAAAGGGGCACCCAGAAGCCTGAGCGGTCCCAGGACCAAAGGATCAGGAGAGCACTACACTTGCAGACTTGGCCCTGCCACATGTGTGGGCACTCTTGCTGGTGTCCTGTACCACTGGTGGGTGGGACAGTGCCAGGAGAGCAACCAGCCAGCCCAAGGGGCCATGGGTTTGGGGAGTCGATTGCTGCTTTGGCCCCAGAGCTCACCAGCCATGGTACCCCTATCTGGCAGTGGTGCGGATGACTTGCTGCCCATCTTGTCCTTTGTGGTACTGAGGAGCGGCCTTCCCCAGCTGGTATCAGAGTGTGCAGCCCTGGAGGAATTCACCCATGAGGGGTAGGAACCCCCTGTTGGAGCGGGGGTGGTGGGGATCCCTACCGGGAGGTCTGAGCACAGGCAGCTGTGTCCAGCAGGTACTTCACCCCTGATCTAAGCCAGTGGCTAGTGGATGACAGGCTTTTTGTGGGACACTGACCCCAGCATGTCCCTGGGACCCTAGACAGGAACCAAGGGGCTGCCCCCCAAGGGCAGTCGTGTCCCAAGGTCATTCCCCAGCCCTGCCACCCAAGGATGAGGACAGGTGGTAGGGAGAGGCCTCTCTACAACCCTAGCTGTAGCCCCCTCAGCTGAAGTCCTAGCCTGCGGGAGCACAAGGTGGGGGTTCCATCCCCTTCAGGTGACACCTGTCCTTCCGCCTGCCTCTGCTAGGTACCTGATTGGAGAGGAGGGTTACTGCCTGACGTCACTGCAGAGCGCCTTGAACTATGTGGAGCTGCTGCCACGGGGGGGCCTAGGCAACTAGTAAAGGCTGCATCCCAGGGATACCTCAGTGCCCTCTGAAGATGACCCCTTGGCTTCCATGGTACTCTGCATGGGGTGGACCATCAGCTCTGGCCCCTTTCCTGGTACACTACTGCCCCCATGGCTCAGGGCGGCCTTTCTGCAGCAGGATGGACATGTCAGCTCCTTGTACCCTGCTGTCCTGTGCTGGCCTCTGAGAGGCCCTGGGTTGCCCACCCATAGGGGCACTGCACAGAGGGACCAGAGTTGAGAGAGCCAGCCTCCCCTGCCTGAGCCCGGGCACAGAGCCTGCTGTTTATTTATTGGGTAGTGGCTGCCCTCCTCGCTTCCGGGCTTGTAGCTGTGCCCTCTCTCTGCAAGGACCCCCACCCTGGCTCATTGTGGTGGTGGTCAGTGAACGTGATAGGCCCTAGCCGACTCCTTGTCCTCTCTCTCCCGGGTTGGCGTGAGTCCATGTGGCCAAAAATAAAGAGGTTATAAAGTTTGCTTTGGTGTGGCTCTTTTGTCCCCACCCACTGGCCCAGGCTCAGGCACACAGCTACCCAGACCCTCTGCCCAAGAGCAGGGTCGCAGGGCTGTTCTGGCCAGGCGGGCATGGGCTTTGCTGTCCAGGACAGCCCAGCTCCACCCAAAACGCCACCTGGGGGCCTCTCGGGATCATTACACCACATGGAGACACAGTAATGTGCCATGGCTCTGCTTCCCACAGGGACACCGATGCCCTGTGGTGGTAGCATGTCCCACACACAGATGCAGAGATGCCCCACATCAGCTGTGTGTTCCTCCCCTGGACACACAAGTGGCCCGTGGCATCTGAGCCTTCCCCAGTGACCCCACTCCTACCTGTGTACACTAGGGCCTTGAGGTGGCCTTGCATCCCATGTGGGAGGAGACAGTCCAGTTTCCTTCTGTGGCAGCACTTCTGCATGAGGAGGCACATACTGCAGGCATAGCAGAGGCCAGGCAGGGAGGCAAGAAAGGAAGGGCCCTGGAAACTCAGGCCACTACAGGGAGGCAGGTGGCCAGGCTCTAAGGACACGAGGTGGCAGTGGGTGGTGGTCGGAATCTGTGGCGAAAGAGCCTTAGAGATGGCAGTGGCTGGTGTCTGAGGGACACTAGTCTGTGCCTTCTGCGGGTGACAGCTGCCCGCCCCTATAGGAAACAGCAGCATGCTTCCCCAGGCATTGCCAGAGCTGGGGGAGCGCAACAGGATGGAATGGAACGCCAAAGGAAGACATGACCTAGGACGGCTGGGGCCAGGCAGCCAGAGTCCTCGGAGCACCTTCTCTAGCGGGAATTTCCCAGGGGTTGGGGGGACAAGCCAGGGGCCCCTCACCCAGCTCTCCAGGGGAAGGCTGGCACCCACCACCTCAGTGTGCCCTGTCCCTGCTTTCCCCAGCTCGTCATTCACTGCCTGTTGGCTCCTCTGCTCTGCTGCACCTGTCCCCAGGGCATGTGCCTTTGGGCAAGCAGTCCCCAGGCCTGGACACAGCACAGCACGTCACCAAGCCTCCTGGGGCAGTGACGTCCAGCTCAGGCCTCAGCACTGACTAAGTACTGCTTCACAGAATAGAGGAGGATGAGCTGCACGTCCACAGTCACCCCTGCGCGGTGAGGCTGCTGTGTTCAGGTTTTGTGTCTTGTGTGTGACTCAGTGATAGCCCTCAGCCTTCCTCAGCCATAGCAACCCACAGAACAGAAATAAGGAACAGAGTATTCCCACTGGAAATCCTGAAAGTCAACAACAAAAGGCAGGAGTCCTACAGACAGGCTGTGGATCTAGAGGAGAAAACAAGACATTAACCAGGGCCACATGTGGTGCACATCTGTAATCCTAGTATGCCAGGAGGCCAGGGCAGGAAGATCACAAGTTCAAGAGTTGGCTGGGCAAGTTAGAAACTTAGCAAGACCCTCTCTCAAAATTAAAAAAAGGGGCTAGGAATGTACTCAAAGGTCTTGGGTTCAACCCCCAGTGCTGAAAAAAAAAAAAAAAAAGAAAGAAAAAAGAAAGAAAAGTAAACAAGTATGAGGTTCAAGATCACAATTGAGCCTGTGGCACACATCTGTAATCCCAGCACTTGGGAGGCTGAGGCTGGAGAATTGCCAAAAGTTCAAGGCCAGCCTGCACTACAAAGCAGGACCCTGTCTCAAAAAAAAAAAACATTCACAACAATCAAGAAATGCAAGTTCAAACAGTAACAAGATACAACTTCGTAGTCATAGACAGGGGAAATTTTTAGAAAGCTGAACAATGCTGAGTATGCAGTGGGGGGTCAGCGGTGGGGACCGACCAGCTGCCAGTCCTGGCCTCAGGTGTGTGTGGATGGGGCCTCTGACCTTCCAAGTCTGCCCTGTGAGTCCAGAGGGGCGACAGCATCCATGGAGGACAGGGAAGGCAAAGGAGAACGCACCTGTCTCCAGCAGCTATCCAGGTGGGAGCAGCCACCCAACTCACCACTCAAGTGTATTTGAAAGTCCTTCACTCTTCCTCATGTCGTCACCTGGGCAGGTTCCTGGGGACAGCCTGTGTTAGTGGCAGCCAGCACATGCCTCAGGGAGATCTGCCTACGTGGTTATAATACTTAGAAAGTTTCCTTTGAAATATCTGAAAATAGGCAAAATTTTGGAGAGAAATCAGGCAGGTACCTCTCCCCAAGCAGTTCTCGGCAACCTGCCTGGCATTGGCCTTGTCCTGGAGAGGTGAGAAGCAGGGGCTGCCGAGGAGGGGGTGTGGTCTAGCAGAAGATGCTTGCTGAAGCCTGGATCCGAAGGCCAAGGGCCACCACTCCTCCACCCGTGGGACTAGGGGAGGAGCTGAGCAGAGCAGAAGAGATGAAAGGCAGAGAAAGAAAACGACCCTCTAATCTGGGGCTTAGAGGAGGCCTGGAAGGGTCGGCTTTGCCGCTCCGGGTCAGACACCGGGGAGTGGCCCACAGGGGGCGCCCAACTACCTTATGTTGCTTGGCTGGTTGTTTTATGCCTTCTTTCTTATACCGTACATTGCTCTGTGAATAGAATCCAAGGTCGTGAACCCAGGGACTTATGTAGGCCAGGCAAGCAGTCCACCTTTGAACTACATCTTTAGCCTGAGGTTGCTTTTTAAATATTTTTCTGGAAGTGGGAATTAAACAAAGGAAGCACTGAGCTACATCCTTAGCCTTGTTTTTTGTTTTTTGTTTTTTGTTTTTTTTTTTGAGACAGGGTCTCACTATGTAGTTGAGACTGACCTGGAACTCACAATGTAGCCCAGGCTGGTCTCGAACTCACAGTGATCCTCCTGCCTCAGCCTCCCGAGTGCTGGGATTACAGGCGTGCACCACCATGCCCAGCCCTTAGCCTTTATTTTCTATTTCGAGATAAGGTCTCGCCAAATTGCCCAGCTGTTGTCGAACTCACGACCCTCCTCAGTAGCTGGGATCACAGGTGTGTGGCAGAACGCAGGAGGAGGCTGCTGTGTGGCGCATGCGTGTAATCCCAGTTATCTGGAAGGCTGAGGCACAAAGATTGAGAGCTCGACACCAACCTGGGCAATTTAGCAAGATCCTATCTCAAAATTTTAAGAATGAACCAAGATCAGGGGATACTGCAAAAGAGAAGGGCGGTGAAAGGGCTGAGGCCTCGCCCCTACCCCCACCTCCGGCCAATCATCGCCAGTAAGGGCGAAAGCCCCGCCCCCAGAGGCCGGGCTCTGGCTCCCGGAGCCAAATGCTGGGATGGTAGGCTCGGCCACTCCGTTTTCCCTTCCCGGAACGGTGACCGAGCGTCCGCTGGGTACCGGTACCATTGACAGAGATCGGCCCGCGGAGCAGACAGGCGACGCGGTGACAGGAACCCAGAGAGGAGCTCTTGCAGGTGTCCGGCGGGAAGGAACTGCAGCGGGCTTCGGGCCCCGCCCGGGGAACGCGCGTGTCGGCGGAGGCGACCCCAAGCTACGCCAC